GTTGATGCAAATTGGTATGAATTAAACTTGTGAACTAAAATTGTCATTTTACTAATACTCATGACTAAATTTGGTATTTGTTCTTACTAAAAACCAATTATATATAAGTTTATTCTTTCTTGCAAAAATTGTTACAACAACAACAACAATACAATTGAAAATATAGCCAGCGCCCAATCAAAAGTAAGTTGTTGAATAGTAAGAAGTTAGGCATTCAAGTACACTATTTTTTGGTGGGTGACGACAACAACCCACAATTATTATTTTTTATTATTCCTTTTAGGAATAAGGGTCATATAATTAGGTCCAAAATGATCTATTTACTTTAAACTATACTGACGTGATGCAATCGTTATGCCATGGAACCGTGTTCACCATTCATGGTGAACACGGTTCCAACGGTGTTAGTACATCGTTATCTTTTTTTTTTCTTAATTAATTGCGTGACTTTTCTTCTTTATTTTCACATTTCGCGGTTTCACTTTAATTTGAGGTTAGCAATGATTTCGGATATTCATTATGAATTCATGCCTGCACATTCACTTTGGAACCATGCCTACACATTCCCGTTCGAAATCACGGACATTAATAAATTATGAATCCATGCCTGCACATTCACTTTGGAACCATGCCTACACATTCACTTTGGAACCATGAGATTATGAATTTTCTGTTATAAGATTATGAAATTTCTGTTATGAGATTATGAATTTTCTGTTATGAAATTATGAATTTTCTGTTATGAGATTATGAATCTACATTACATTCATAATCTCATAACATAAAATTCATAATTTAATAAATATTTTACTTTTATGCGATTATGAATTGTCTATTATGAGATTATGAATTTACATTACATTCATAATCTCATAACAGAAAATTCATAATTTGATCAAACGCGCGTCGTTAACTCCACATCCGCGATTTTTATTTTTTATTTTTTTAACGTAAAAACGACGTCGTTTGGACTTGTGTTCACCATTCACGGTGAACACGTTTCCAGGGTATAATTTGCGGACGTGATGGTTATAGATTATAAAAATAATTAATTAATATATATATATATATATATATATATATATATATATATATATATATAAACTAAAACTAAAACTGCCGAAACGATTACGAATCGTCTCCGACAGTTCTAGTTTTTTTTTAATAAATAATTTTAATTATTTATTTTATTTAAAATTATTTTTAAAAATTAATTATTTTATTTAAAAATTATTTTTAAAATCGGTAATCGTTATTTCAGGTAAACAGTCATTTTAGACGTAATTGCATAATTTTGTGTCGTTCATGGACCCTTTGTATCTTTTTGAGTTCGATAGCTTAATTGCACTTTGATGTGCAGTGGGGTCGCCTATTTGACCCTTATTATTATTATTATTATTATTATTTATCAAAATGAGGGGGGAAATCCAAAATAGCTAACATCTAGTGGCACCGCACTCCCATGGAGTCCTCAAAAAGCAAACCGAGAATCCCGGTCCTCGGTTACCACTAATAACTTTCTTAACCAAATAGTTAGCCACCGTGTTTTGTTTCCGATGCACATGCACAACCTGCATATATCCCAATTACTACAGATTCAGCGGTGTCATTATTTAAATGTGTGCATAGTGTAAACTTATATTATGTGTAAAAACATGCAAACTACATAAAAAAATGCAAGCTGCATTAAGAATGTTGACATGAATCGAACTTATTCAATTATGCTTTTTGATTCACTTTAATTAATTGACTTCTTCTTTATATGAGTTGGGGTTTTTTTTTTTTTTTTTTTAATTTTATTTTTATGAGTTGGTATATAGCTATTCTCAATTTGTAATTTTGTCTGGACATTCGTAAATAAATAGACAAATAGTCAGAGTTATAACTCCTATAATATAATATATAAAAAAAATAAACTTATTGCGTAAGTTATATGATTTTATTTAGCACGTTGTGTTATAATATTATAATAATATATATTGTAATATATGTCCACATCAATATTAGTAAGCGTTGTCTTTATGATATGACATATATAGTGGTTAATTACATACTCCATCCGTAATATTTTATGTGTCCATTAATAATATTTAATTAAGTTATTTTTAATTCAATTTTTTTATAATGTTAACTTTAATACTAGTATATAAGATTTATATATTCAGAAAATATATTTAAAATACTATTAAACATTAAAAAAAATAATAATAAACAAATACTAAATAAAATAAGTAATAAGAAATAGTTTGTTTGGCCAATGAATATTATACATAATAGGTAAAATGGGACATAAATATTGCAATTTTATATGTACCCTAAAAATGAAGAAGATTATGCTTTTGAAAGTGGTGACAGAATTGGTGGCTCGCGGTTTTTGTACTTGAAGATTACGATTTTTATTATTGCGAACATCCTCTTTTTTTTTTTTGGTAGAAATTGCGAACATCCTCTTGGTCAATGGTGAATCAATGATTTTTTCTGAGTGGGGCGAAGTTAAAAATTGTCTATAACCAAATATAAAAAATAAACGATTTTGATTATTGTGAACATCCTCTTTTTTTTTTTTTTTTTTTTTGGTAGAAATTGCAAACATCCTCTTAGTCAATGGCGAATCAATGATTTTTTCTGAGTGGGACGAAGTTAAAAAATGTCTATAACCAAATATCAAAAATAAGGAAAGTGTCACTTCCATGACATATGATATTAATTTATATATATATATATATATATATATATATATATATATATAAGTTACTGCTATATATATAAATAAATGTATACATTTTTATATAAGGGGTGGAGGGGTGGGGGGTGGGGGGGTGCAATTGCCCCCATTGCCCCCCTCATAATCTATCTATGCTCTCAGTCAAGCTCACTGTACATAATTTTCTTTTTTAATGTTGTTTACCTATTTTGTATAATTTGCGAGCTATTATGTATGGGTGGAGTTTACCTTTCGGGGCAAAGTTTGCCATTTTTGGCTACATAGTTTGTGAGGTTTGCATGTTTTCGGCCCTGTTTGGTAAAAAAAAATGGCCTATAGGCTAATTTTGGCTTATTTTATCACTATTAATTGTTTGATTTAGTTACAATATCAATACAATTGTTTGGTTAATTAGCTTTTTGCAACTCCAAAATGCTAAAATTCAAAAAGCTATTCCAACCAACTTTTTCAATTAGCTTTTTCAGAAAAACAATTATACCTAACATCTATCATCTAACAGCTAATTTACCAAACACTTTTCTACAATCAGCTAATATTATCAACTAGTTATACTTTCTAATTAACACAACCAGCTAACATCCATTTACCAAACAAGACTGAACATCTTATGTAGTCTACAGGTTTTTTACTTCTCCATTAAATAAAAAGATAATTTTTTTTTTGTGTACACAAATTTTCACCGTCGAACACAATGACTAATTCTCTCATTGAATTATAGACCTTTCTTTTGGATAGGACAGATGACCCAGAAATTTCAGGCTACTTCATACCTAAAGTCTAAGAATTATATAACTAATGTGACAACTTCAATAAATAAGTGAGTTTTCAAAGTCCAAATTATATTTATAACCTTCTATAAAGTATAGTTTTATAAGGTGTATGTGTAGACATTGAATTTTTCACAATATAGGATAAATTGGATTTTAAGTATTTTCCATTTTCCTTACCAAAAAAAATCCCTTTTGATTGAGTTAATTGGATCCCATATTAATTAGGCTTAATTAAGCTAGTTAATTGACCAAACAATTAATTGTTCAATCATTAATTCATTATATTATGGATTTGATTATGATCCACCTTGCAAGGTGAACAATATTACATTTACTCTTATATTTTATACTCTATTATCTAAGTAGAACGGTCGCATAAACTATCCGTATTTTTTTCTTCTAAACCTTGATGATTTTACTTAGAAATAGTTGCGAATTATTGTTCAAATATTTATAATTTTGCCCTCGCAAATTTTTTTAAAGGATACACCACCCTTATTTTTAGAATGATTGCTAAAAGTCAGTATTATTTGTTCCTTTTTGTACTAGTATTGTACTAAAATTGCTTGAAAAAATATAAAATAAATACCACCTTGTAAAAAATTACGAATATTTAAAAAAAAAAAAATACACCACATGACATAATAACTTAAGGATTGATTGAATCATCAAATGGATACTCCACTTACACAACCTTGGCTATTTCAAATGAAATATGAACAAATTTCGTGCACGCACTCACCGTCCATTAGTTTTACAAGTCATTTTCTTGAGATTTGACTGGCCGGTTAGGTTTGGCTAATTTCCTCTAACCCACGTACACTGATTGACATGAATATGCCATGAGTTTCACGCCACAATGAACTCAATATCAAATAATATACTTTGCCACTTCAATGAATGAATGGATATTTCATTGTTTTTATCTCTCCCAACGTGATGTTCGATTACTCTACGTTTAGTGTGACGAATTAGTCTCCAAACATAAATGGAGAAAGACAAATTATACCAATGGACCAGGTCTACCTTGCATTGTAGACCCTGGTCGAAAAATAACCTTCAGATTCTGTATCTCTAGTTAACACATTCTGTACATACAGTTGATAGTTTTTGTATCTGTAGCTATCATATTATGTGTCAGCAATTATCAAGTCAGATTCTGTATTCATAATTGTCATATTCTGTACTTGCAGTTAATAGTTTATGTACATATAGCTATCATGTGTCAACAATTATCAAGTTATTTGTTTACATGTACAGAAACTGTTAACTATAGTCTGTAGGTATAGAATGTGTTAATTGAAAGTACAGAATTTTTGTATCAAGGTTCACAATGTAATATGAACCATGATCTATGGTATAACAATTGATGGAGAAATGAAAACCAAAAGTTAAAGTAAACGGGCCTAAATGTATTATTGGGCCTGACGTAGGCCCATTAGATATTAATTTGGGAATTTCAGTACTACGTATGTACGTTCATTCTAGTCTCCTTTTCAGTTAAAATCCGACCCGGTTACCGTTGAACAGCAACGAAGAAGCTCGACAATGGAGCAAAACCCTAGCAAGAAGAAAATAAAAAAAGCAGAAAACAGTTCGGAAATTTTCGCCTCCTGCTCGTTCGCTAGCCTCGGCCTTCATCCAACATTATGCGACCAGCTCAAAGGTGGTCTCCTTTGTTCATACATTCATTAATTGATTCAATTGTTATGTGTAATTACTTACTTGATTATTGTTTCTGGTATGTTTTATCAGAGAGGCTGGGTTTTGAAGTTCCGACTCTTGTTCAAGCTCAAGCAATTCCGGTTATCCTCTCTGGTCGACACGTGTACTTCTCTTTCCCCATTTATTTGATTATTATTCTTTTCATTCTCTTGATTATGTTTTGTTTAGGTCAAGTTATTCATTAAAGTTTAGTTTTTTAATATGGGAGGTGCCTTTGGGTTTTCCTTTATATTTAATTTACAGGTTAGTGAATGCAGCGACTGGGACAGGGAAAACAGTGGCATACTTGGCTCCAGTTATTCATCAGTTGCAGAAATGTGAACCTCGGATTCAACGCTCTGATGGTACTTTTGGTATGTATTTTATGTTGATATGTTGGTTCAAAGCTCACTCCCTTTTTTCTCTTGCATGTTCAATTCTTGCTCAGTGCAATAGGAAACAAATTGCCAGGCTTGTTGATGTCTTGCCTCAACCTTCAACAAGTTTTTATTAGAAGAAACATGAAGCTCAATATTTCTCAAATTATAACCTTACTAAAATAAGTGCATGAGAATTAAGGACATTAAAATATTTAATGTTTGATCCTACAAATAATGGATAAGGCATGCCTTTAAATGATGCAGAATTATGAGTTACTTAATGTTCACCAATCAGAGCATATTACATGCCATTATCATGTATAATAAAATGGTGAAAACTCATTTTGTCCTTTCTCTTGCCTTTTTTTCTTCTTTTGAGATTGTTCGTGCTGATAATAACTGACATAGCTGTGACAGCGTTGGTTCTTGTACCAACGCATGAATTGTGTCTGCAGGTGTATGAAATTTTGCAGAAAATGTTACATCGCTTCCACTGGATTGTTCCTGGGTATATAATGGGTGGGGAAAACAGGTCAAAGGAGAAGGCCAGATTGCGGAAAGGTAGAAAATGTTGAATTTTTTGCTATTCTAAATAATTACTGGAAACTGGATACTGTTAAATGAGTTTAAGTGTGGTGACATTGGTCACTATCATCAGACTTTAAACAGTTCAAATATAAACTTTTAAGCTATTGTTGTTCCTTACAATAATTCAGTACAATTTCACTGATCAGTTACTGATTCTTTTATGGACTGATGGTCTGCAATTCTCTTTGTGGAATGTAATACAAACTAGAAGTTATTTATGGCTTGTCATTTTTTTTTTTTGGGGTATCTCCACATTTGTTATGCAGTATGTGAAATTAAACATACTCATGTTGTTCTTTTTGTGTAAATTTTGGTTTAGCTGGTCTAAAATACTATTGTTTCTGTTATTGAATGTACCTGTTTAGTAGTGTAGATATCACACTCTCAGCCTCTGAATTAATGGCTTGGGAATATTTCCATTTCTAGGTATATCAATTCTTGTTGCAACTCCTGGTCGTCTTTTGGATCACCTAAGAAAGACATCGTCATTCATACACACAAATCTGCGGTGGATTGTTTTTGATGAAGCGGATAGGTATTGCATACATATTCAATTAATTTCTCCTTCAAATAAATTTTTCTTACTAATTTCAGTTCCTTCATTGTCATTCATCTGTCTACTTTTCAGGATTTTGGAACTTGGATATGGTAAAGAAATTGAAGATATACTTAATGTTCTGGGCTCATTTGGCAAGGAGAAAACAGCTTTTAGAGGCCTTGAAGTTCAGAGGCAAAATTTGCTGCTGTCAGCAACATTAAATGAGAAAGTGAACCATCTTGCCAAAATCAGTTTAGATAATCCAATAATGGTTGGTCTTGAGGATAAGAAGTCAGATAACAAACAAAATCACGAAGAAATGGAAACAAGTGGACTTAATTTAAATGATGAATTTGAAACATCTGGAAAACTATTGAGTTCTTCCTGTGAGGAATATAAGCTTCCAGCTCAGCTACTCCAGAGATACATAAAAGGTACATTATAAAAGGAAGTTTTGTGTGTTGAGCCCAATTGTAATCACTTATTCTATCATCTTAATGTTAACTTGTTTTCTTTCTGCAGTTCCATGTGGTTCTCGGCTTGTAGTGCTTCTTTCAATTTTAAAACATCTGTTTGAGAAGGAAGCTTCCACACAGAAGGTTAGGGAATATTGTAATTACAAATCTTCATTAATGGTGATTGAATTGGATGAACAAATTTTACCTGAGACCTTTTTCTGTTTTATAATATAACGTGTTTTGATAGTTCTGTGCGATACCTTTTGGCGCTCTTTTGTTTCCCACCAATTTCACTCTGTTTTGCAGGTAGTGGTATTCTTTTCTACATGTGATGCTGTAGATTTTCACCATTCGCTGTTGAGTGAATTTCTGTGGAACCCAAGTTTGCAATCAGATTTGGAAGTCAGGCAAAAATTTTTGAGCTGCAATATATTTCGGTTACATGGTAATATGAGCCATGATGACCGAAGAACTACATTCAATGCATTTAAAACAGAAAAAACAGCTCTCCTTCTGTCCACTGATGTAGCTGCTAGGGGGTTGGACTTCCCAAAAGTTAGATGCATTATACAGTATGATTCTCCTGGTGAGGCAACCGAGTATGTGCATAGGTAAAAATCCTCCTTGTCTGGGTTGCTTAGCTCTTTCCCTTGGATTTCCCTGTGGTTGTAGTGTTTTTTGCTTCAAGTGTGCCACCGGTACATTTCTGAACAGGTCATCTATTGTACAAACTGGCATTGATTTTATGATGGCATTATCTGCATTCATTACCTTAAACATCAAAGCTGTCCAAATTCCAGGGCAGCTGGCTCAAGGCTGTTCCCTCCAGCTGTGCATGATTGCATTAATCCTCTTTCTGAGCTAATAACCAGCTCTAAATCCTCTGTTAAGCTGCATATGTTCATATCCTTTTATCACGTTGTATAATATGATTTTGCTACTTTGCCTATATTCTTACCACTTGAATATTCCACCACCCCTAACTGGAGACCAGTAAATCTTATCATATACTTTTATTAGTCTACATTCTAACCTCAAATGGGTCCACACTTTTATAGGTCCTGATAATCACGGGACTTTGCAGTTTGCATGAGCACAAGTTTTACTAAATTACACAAAATCTTTGATGGTTTATTCAATTTATTGCCAAGTTTTAATAGATGGAGTTGAGGTTTTCAGTCTAACACCACTTTAACCTGATGCAGAGTTGGAAGAACTGCTCGGTTGGGTGAAAAGGGTGAGTCTGTATTATTTCTACAGCCGATTGAAGTTGAGTACTTGCAGGACTTGGAGAAACACGGAGTGACACTAACAGAATATCCCCTTCTTAAATTGCTGGATAGCTTCCCGGTGTTTGGTATGAAACACCTGTCAAAGAAATTTGTTTCGAATCTTTCGATAGAGATGCATCCCTGGTCAATTTTTCTGCAGAGATCATTAGAATCCTTTGTTACAACGGAGGTGAGAACACTAGTGCATTTCATTATGTTTACATTCGTTAGCGCATTAGAAGTCCCTAGTTTTGAACTCCTATCGCGATGTTTACTGTTGTCAGGCAAATATGAAAGTACTAGCAAAGAATGCGTTTTGCTCGTGGGTCCGTGCATACACTGCCCATCGCGGAGATCTGAAAAGAATTTTTATGGTGAAGAAGCTTCACTTGGGGCATGTTGCAAAAAGTTTCGCATTGAAGGACCAGCCATCCTTGTTCAACAAATCAATCCAAAAGCAAACAAAGAAGAGGGGAAGGGATCAAAAACAGAAGGGAGTATCATCAAAGAAGAGGAAAACCACTAAATAAATTATGAATTTTACTATGACTATCTATACATACACACACACAGAGGCACACCACGACGAGGTTGAACCAATCGCTTATCATATATGATCCAAGGAAAGCTCGAAAAGCTAAGAATGTCTGTGAATTGCCTCGAGATGTGTCTGCAGTGCTGCAGCAACATCCCTGTACAAGAAAAATGTTTAATTTTTGAGGTTTGATGTAAGTGCAAGGTAGTTGAAATTCTGAGCATTGCCTTTATGGCATTAGCTCTACAGTTTTGTAGTCCAACTTTAAGCCACAGTCTCACTTATAATGTCTTATGATTCATAATTCCTTTTTTTAACTTTCGGAAATCCTATAGTTGCTATCAACATCCATGCTGGTCATATATAGTATACTTATGTATTGTATCGTTTTAATAGTACATGATCTATAGTTCTATACTATAGAATATACGATTCTACATGGTACTATTTAAAATTATTACTAATAATATTTGGTCAGATACATCGGTGTCATGATTTGGGGACATCTATTATATAGAGTACTATTGAAAACTATTACCAATAATATTCGGTCAGATGTGATCGGTGTTGATTGACATTGAACGATTGAAGGACAATCTCGGCTAAGTTAGTTAGACAGTTGGGTTGGAACTTTGAACGATCAAAGGGATAATATCAACCAAGTTGATCAGATAATTGATTTGGTAAAAAAGGTTTTAAGTTCGACTTTTTATCGGAGCTGTTTATATATGTGATGATGGGGTTGGCTGTACTTGGGTAGTGGTGTTAGGCTGGCTTCTTTAATGAGATGCAGATTTATCACCAAACAAAAAAAATAAAAGAGGCATAGTACAGTGGGCCTCGAGCAGTCCACATCAAGGCCCACTAAGATCAGAGTCCACGAATCTACAGGCCCTTCTCTGGCAGTCAACCTTTTCAATCTCTGAAGCCCATGGGCCCACAGGCCGTGCAGGAAAGGCGTTGACGAAAGTGCGTGCGTGCAGTCCACTCCCCATCGGACCCCCATGATGAGGTCTGCGTTCACCCACGTCAGGTGAATTTATCATCCCCAGGCTGGGCTCAAATCCGACCCCACTCCCGCCACACACTGAATAAAACTGGTGGGCCTTTGTCCATTAATTAGCAGGCCCGTGGGCCCGCACCCCTGGCCCACTTCACCCTCCCTCGTTTATCTGCTTTTCTGATACATCTCATTTTCCATTCCAACTCTCTTGATTTCGGAATCTTGAATTGAATTCAAATCTTCCAAACAGCAAAATTAGGATCCTTACGACCCTATCCCAATAATAATAAAATTTCAATCATAACTTGTCATTTCAGTATGAAATAGACCTATAATCGGTAAGCAAACTGTTAATGTAACTATAAGGTCTGAGATTTGGACTAATTTTTACCATGATGAAGATAATAAATGTAAAAGAAAACATAATAAAAAGTACATGGAATAGTAAAAATGAAGTAATTTAGTAGTTTTGGACAGTCATCAATAATAATTAGAATGGGTAAAGTCGGTGGTTTGGATTAGTCTAGTAGTGTTAGGATACCATTTAAAAAAAAAAAAGAGTAACAAATATGAGTATTAGTCAAGCTAATAAATATAGTCCATCTCATCTCTTTATTAACTGAAAAGTATGTATAATTTCATCTCTGCCTCGTATTCATTAATCATGATCACATCAATTCAGATGATTTATTGTAGCTGAATTTAAAGATTAGCTATTAAAACGATCAAATGAAAATAAAGAGTCAAAACAAATATCATTTATATCTAATTATATAATGTTTAGGTTAGACTTCTATCAGTATCACTTGCATTATATTTGATATATCATATATGACGCGACACTGTTTATTAATGTCAAATAATTTGGTGTTTTGCCGTAGGAATAGTGTTGGTTAGAGCTCAACAAAATGACAAGATGGCGTATGTTTTGGTGTTGATTTTTGCAGATTTAGTGCCCCTTTGATATGCTCTAAGCATTTGCTCACACTTTTCACCAAAATCTTGTTTTCATGACAACCAACCCTATATATATATATATATATATATATATATATATATATATATATATACTGTGAATATACAAAGCTAAGTACTTATACGGAAGGAATATTATTGGATGAAATGGCAGCCGACTTTTGCATGAAAAGAGGGATCAAAAGTAAATAAAAAAATATATAAACACCCACCCTGGCCTGGTTTATAGCCGTGAATCTCGTCTTGTGTTTGCCCATTACACTCTCACCTCAATAATTGATAACTTTATTTGTACCTCTTTCTTTCATGTTCAATTAGATCTTTCTGGTTTTAGTTTATTATCGTAACGGCAGCAATTGTTAAGGTGATGTCGATCGATCTAAGATAATAATGATGAACAATATAATAGAATTGAATAATGTGTTTGGTTTCAAGTTAAGTGTTAATTTTATTATGAAAGTTATTGGTTCAAAAATAGAAATTCAATCTTAACTTAATTACCATTATTTTATAATCTCTTGTAAAATTTAAGTAAGATTGTACCATTTTCTCCTTCTTGGAAAGTCGATGCATGTATTGACTCACACTCCATTTATTTATTTATTTATTTATTTTTTTGCACTAGGTAACTTATTTAGCTTTCAATTTACTAGGGATATTACTTTTTCGTTTCCTTTAAACCTTATCAAACATTCCGTAATCTTTTCCCAAGTAGCATTTTCTTGCTCTAAATTTGTCTTGGCACTAGGTAGTCCCTTTTCCCGTAAATAGATTTTACACTTGACTTTTTTTTTTTTTTTTTTGAATACTATTGACGCTTCAGTTTCTTTTATACCTTATCAAGTACCAGCTGGTCTTATCTCAAGTAACCTTTTAATGCTTCCAACTTTTCCCGGTACTTAGATAACTTTTAAAAAAAAAAATACTTAAATAGCTTTTACTCTGGACTTTTTCTAATTCTTTATAATTAAATCTTATCAAGCACCAACTAGTATTTTCATAGATAATCTTTCTTTCTCCGAACTCTTTTTATAACGTTAAGTAGCTCTTTTCCCCTTCGATAGCCCAGACGCTTTTGTACGTATTCTCTTTAAATCTTATCCAATACGTACAAGATAATGTACCCTCTCTCGATTGTGTCATTTTTTCACCTAGCACTACCCTCCAAACAAAAGCACCAATGATGCAATAATAATACTCAAACCAAGGTTCCAATTTTGATACACTACAAAATATTACTCTAAAATTTCTTATGAAACCAATGTAAAATTGTATCAAGTGATATTCCGATATTCTTGTGCAGTGAACTTAGAGATTAGAATGGTATAAAACTCTCTCACTATATATAAGCTTATCCTCCATCATCTATATCAAACATGAAATTTTAATTGAAGGATTGATGAGATGCAGTGGAAAGATGATTGATTGAACCCCACCATATTATGGTGCAATTAAAAAAAAATGGTAGTCCCACTACTGGAAAGAAATGTAATGTGGCTTCTCTCTTTCCTTCCTAGTGGATATCACAACATCATCATCTATCTTTCATTTCCCAGCTAAGAGATATTGTGGAATCACCTGGATGCTGACCACCCTTAATAATATTATTAATATAATCCCAAAATTATTAATCTTATGATATATATATATATATATATATATATATATATATATATATATATATATATATATATATATATGGGGAGGGTTCAGATGAGAATATGACTTTCACGTAAAAAGTAGGAATTGATGAGCTCATTCATCTATATATTTTGAAAGATTAACCATTAATGGTTGCTAAAAATAAAGATAAAATAGGTCAGATCAGTTGTATAAATATTAAAATTTGTAGTCATTATAAAATTAACTCTGTATTTTTTATTTTTTTTTTTTAACTAAAACCTTCATTATTAGTCCTAACTTTTTAGGTAGGTAAGTTGTTTTCATTCATATGTACTTTGAATAGATTAAACATTCATATTCAATGATATCCACTCCTAATGAATAAATTTAAGTTGCATTTACTTTAATTTTTAAAAAAAATTCTGTAATCTCTAATTCATATAAATTAACAAATAAAAAAAATTTACTTGTTAGCAAACACGTCTTAAATATCTCACTTTAAATGATTTTTATTTATTTATTTATTCATCAGACGACATCAAGATTAATTTTATCCATGTCGATGTAAAACCTCAAAAGGTAACAAAACACTTCTAAAATTTGAATCTAAAATCATTCGATGCGTTTAATTAAGTTGGGAGAGACCCACGTAATCTCATTCCTCTCTATAGGTTTAAATGGGCCATATTTGGTAAAGTGGTTTTCTAAGACAAATTAAAAGGGAGGTGTGGATAGTGGACATCAAGTCAAAGTTTCTTAATTTGACACCAACAAAAAACCTAGGTTTTTTTCCTTGAGACCATATCTGATGCAATTATGCAAAACGCACCGAAATTGTAATGAATGGTCTGTAAGCAATCTTAAATATATGGGACTACTCGAGGTTAACGACAACAGGATGTGTAAATGTCGTGTCAATGTCTTTAATTAAGGCAGCACTAAGTCATTTAGTCTAATGCATATGTATGATTTTGATTAACATGGGATCAATCAAAGATTATTGTCCATGATTAAGGTAGTTAATCTTTTCCTATAATTAATTAATTTTAAGTTTGACCAGTTCTTTGATCTATCTTGCATTTATCGGTGAACTCCACTTCCTTCTGACGAATATTCTCATGGGAAAGAATTGAGACGGTAAATATCAACATCTATATTTCGTGTCTTGTAATTTGGCGAGGGCATCTCAAGCTAGATTTAATTATCCAGTAGATTAAATGAAATTGTTTGAACGTTAAGGTAGTTAATCTTTCACATAATTTTATGTTGACCAATTCTTTAATCTTGCATCCACCGTTAACCCATCAATTGAACTCTACCCCATAAAATCCATTACAACGACCATCAACCCATCAATTGAACTCTACCCAATAAAATTCATTACAACGGATATTCGTTCTCACGTGAAAGAACTGAGACGATACATCATACATATCAATATTCATATTTCGTACATTGTAATTTGTTGAAAGCATCTTAATTTAATCAACTAGTAAGTTAGATGACCGAATTTATTAAGAAATCATTATAGAAGATATTTTCACATAAAAGAATAGAGACGATAAATATCAAATGGTCATAGTACTTTAAAAAAAAAAAATCAAAATGAGAAGGAAACCCAAATGCCAGTCTCACTAGCCTCTGATCGAAACTCTTCTCAGCTCATTTGTGAATTTCCTGCCT